ATTAGATTCTGGACTCAAATATATTTGCTTTTGTTAGCATCTAATACCTGCCAAGGTTCAGATGGTGAGTGATCACTTTATCTCTGCTGAATCTAAATAACAAGGACACTGGCTCAGATACATTTGAGATATGTACCAGTTACTGCTTTGGCGGAAGAAAACGCATGTTTGCATATACAAGTAATGGATATTTTCAGAAGTACACAGAGATATGCAGTATGACTGTAATAACAAACTGCCGTGTCGTGATCCTTCCATAATCACAAAGATGTAAATGCTTATATTAAGCTGGTGTCCCCCCTTACAACTTCATTTTACTGTAACTAATTTCTAACTGAGGAAGCCATTATAAATCCTCTTTCAGTCTGTCAGTTTCATTATATTCTAAACTCTGACCTCAAGACACAGATCATTACGACTTGTTACTTCCAAAACATGTTTCACAGACATCAACATTGCACAGTGTCATATTCCAGCCAGTTTCTGTTTTTCATCAATACAGAAAAAAACGTTGGAGCTGGATATCAAGCATGAAATTAATGATTCCATCAAGTGATCCTTGTTGAGGACATATTTTATAATTATATAACTTCCAGCTTAAACAATAGAATCTATTGTGGAGGATTTACTAAGGGTACATGTGACAGGAGGAGAAGACTGTTTCTGGAACTTGTAAAACTAAAATTGACATGTTTATTAGCATACTAAAATTGTATAATTTAATGTGTGTGAATGTAAAGCAGCTTTTCTACAGAAATATGTTGTTTTTTCAGTTTTTATTCTGCCAGAAATACAATAGTGGTTTAAAGTTGAGCATAAAACATCAAATTTAAGATAATAACCCTGCTGAAATATGCTTTTAATAACTCTGCTTTTACCTCATTAAATTCTAGATTTGGAGGATTATTTAAGTATCTTTTGTAATGTGGTCAGTGTGGTGTTGCTAGGTTAAATAAAAGAGTATGTGATTCATTACATTTTTCAACCTATGTTTAGCCTTCACTTTTTTGAGCTAGACCGATATGATGATAAACATAAGTTTAAAGCTGGGGCTACTAAATGTGGCCTTTGTTCATCTTTTTTAGAGCACATCAAAACGTTTCCTTCTGTGATAATATCAGTTTAAATCTCCCTATAAAAATGCTATATTATCCTTTATGTCACGTAGAAAGACAAAAAAAAAACTCACATAGATAGACAAACTTAATCTCTTCTGTCTTTTTCAGGGCCAGTTCTGATGGCGCACAGATTAGAACTCCAGCTCTCTGCCCAGGCAGTGCAGTGGCTGTTGTCTTGTGCTTGCTAGTGGCAATGACAAATTGCCGAAGTGTCAAATGATGCTGTCGGGACCTGTAGTGTCTCTTCATAGTTGACATTCCTGGGCTTAATCAAGGGTTAAGCAAATTACTGCAGTCTGCAAACCAACACTTGTCCTTCAGCGCCTGCACTGACCCGACAGCCTCACAGGAATGTGTTCTATAGAGTCTGAAGCACCAGACTGTGAAGCGAGAAGAAGAGGGTCTGCACAAGCTGGCAAACATCCATGTGGGTCTTATGCCTTGTTCTTTGTTGGAGTGTGGACAGAAGCTACTGAGAACCACTTCTAAACTGGGGGAAGTTTTGTCTCCAGTGGACATTCAGGATGTCAAGCAAAGTGGCGCTTCACTTGTTTTCTTCACATGTGCACGTATGCACAAATTCCACTGACTCTTTACATCCCCAACCAAGTTGCTCTGCTGAAAATGGATCTTTTCCTGCTAACTAAGGAAGAGCTGGTGAAGTGATGGGACTCCCAAGGGGGGCGGGGTCTCGAGCTGACAGCAGCGGACAGAGGCGGTACATGATCAAATCAGATATGGAAGAATACTCTACCTGCAGTATGAAAACTCAGGACCACTGAATCCCCTAAAAGAGATCATATTCTAACATGAATATTATTCTTAGTGAGAAAAAAGAGAAAAGAAGTTAAAGTAAAAATACAACATCTGTCTTTAGCCCCCTTTGCTTCTATCAGGTTTAATTATAAGAAAGAATCTCCAGCAGTGATCAGTTTAAACCCAGAACCAGTAGAAGGAAGAGAAGACAAGCATGACGCTGCTCAGAGTAAGAGAAAAGCAGCTGGACTGATGGAGTGACCTTTAACAACTAACTCTATTTAATGGTCCTGTATTGGTATACCAGGTTTTGACATGCTTGGCAGCTGAACCGAACACTGAGCTAGAATTTAGGCTAATTAGCATCTGGGGTAGTCATGTTGGATTAGTCACAACATGACATTTTGTTACTATTTTAAATGATCTTTGTTCTAGCAGTTGTTCATGGTGTCTTGTCTCTTTTTTTTTTGGTTAATTTACAGTCATTTATCATTGAATTTATGCTATTGTAATGTTTGCACAGTTTCACAATTGTCTCCAATACAAACTTCAAAGCCCAAGTGTGTTTATTTCACTGATTAGCTGTGTAATTACACGCAAGGCCCTTGTTTTGGCTTTCTACAACAGTGACATCATTTTGCCTGTGTTTAAATTAATGACTTGTTCTTCAATGATTTCAGGCTGCGAGACACTCACCGAGACCAGCAGTGAAAGAAATCATCTGTTCAGCCACATAACTGGCACAAAATGAACCGTCGGTGACGCAAAATGTTTTAAAAAGCTGCCACAACACAAAGTATGGTGCTAAAAGGCCACTGGGATGTGAATTAGTAAAATTAATCAAATGCAGGTTGACCTGAAAGCAAAATATTATCTACTAACATCATTATGTGCGATTCCAAGTCATTCTTCTTCTTGCAGTGTGAGTTGCAGAGGGAATCATTCTGCTCTGAGGCTCCACTGTACTACAACAACCACTGTTTGGATTTGTTTAAACTGAGACACTATCCATGTCAAATTCATGTGTTTTGGAGATTTCCAAATCTGCAACAAGTTCTCTGATCTCTGATTTCTCAAGACTACCAAAGGCCAACCTTTATCCTCTATCATCTTGACTTTTATAGGAATGATTGCTATGGCACATATTGGTGATCAAATTATAGATATTCTGTCCAGCTATGGAGAAACCCCCCACCCCAAAGATTATTTAACTGCCAACTATAAAGCAATTTTAGATTTCACAATCCTGGTGTTGAGTTTAGCTAAATAAATAGGGTAGAATAAGAATGTAAATGTGAGCTGAGGTCAGGGACTCCCTCACCCAGAAAAACTCAAGGAGCTTGATATGATTGATGGTCTGTGGGAGTAAGACTGACACTTGGTGTACACAGAGGGTGCGAAACAAAGAAAGGCTGCAAGCTCCTGCAGGATAATAACATTATGGATTTTTTGTTAGATGGATTACCTAGGAGCTTAAAAGTATCAGCTGTAAATATGAAGTTTCTTTCAGATTTCAGTGAAGGCTGTATCAGTCGATATGGATCACCCAGAAGCTTTAAATCATATTAAGACGTGCTGGGAAGTCCAGAGGAAAGCGCTGGTTTGTTTAATTCACACAGTCAAGCGTTATTTTATGTGTCTATCCCTACGACAGTCTTTATGTTGAAAACTGGTAAAAACAAAATGTTTTCTAATGTATGTTGGACAAAGAAGCAATGGAAAAAAGTGTGGCTGTCCTGTGGGGTTTGTAATTTCAGAGCTCAGTGTCTGTAACAAAATAAAAGTTGATGTAGTTGAAGTGAGAAGTGTGTGGTCAATTATTGCTCCAGAGGCTGCTGCGGTCAGAAGTAATGAAGTGTGATAGCTGACTGATACGGCTCCGAGCCAAAAGCAACAAGTTTTGGTTCTCTGGTAACAAGACAAGACACAAAACAAACAGCCTATATGTTTGACCTGGACACTGAACAGCTCCTCAGTACAGTACAGAGATATAGTCTGTAAATGCCTGTTGTTCTATTAAACATCTATCAGATTTGTCCTAATTTGGTGTACATGGCCACTTCCATATTTCCTGGGCCTGCCCTTTACTGCTAGATATCCAGCAAGACATTACTGGGGAGCTAATGAATACTTTCAGTTACCTTTTTGTCACACTATACTTGGGCAGAATACTGGACAATCTCAAGCCACAGGACAAAGACCTTTATCAAATACTTCTGGCTGCCAGCATGAAAGCTGTCACATGTAAATGGTCTCCCCAGTGAAGGACGACTGGACTGCAGTCGCTAATGAAATACATCAAATGGAGAAACTGACCTCTGTCCTCGAATTGAGATTCGATCAATATGTACAGTTCTGAGAGTGCTTGTACATTGTGGCCCTGTGCAGTTCCTGTACCACTGCAAGACTGTTTCTTTACACCACTGTAATGCTGTTCCTGTCAATCCTTGACACTTTACACACCAAAGATATCCTGTTCTATCATTTTTTCATTCTCTGTCCTCTTCTGCTTCTGTCTTCTTTATCATGTAAAACACTGTCATGAAACCTGTCACATAAATCCTGACCAGGGATCTTCAGCTCTCCCCGAGCCTCTAATGAGTTTGTCTGGCTCCAGTAATGCTCTGTCATCCTGTCGGGTCCTCTGCAGGGGATAAGTTTCTCTCTCAGCTTTCTAGCCAGTCTTCGCTGACCCCTGTATCGAGCTTCCTTTAATTTATTATCTTCCCATCTCTAGCTATCACGGCCAAGTGGCATAGCCAAACAATAACATACAGCCTCTTCGGAAGGAAGTATTAGTGGATTACATAGTGGTTTACCTTTCATGGGCCAGGACAGATTTGTCCGGCTGGCTTCCTTGGCGAGGTCAGCGCTGTGCAAAGACGAGAACCCTCTGCCGTTATATCAAAACCGCAGTTTATTGTAGTAGTGTCAGATGATTTGTTAATGGCAGTATGTCTGACAGTTAGAGATGTTGTTCTTAAAAAGAAAACACATTAAATCATGCTCTACAGACAAGGAGTGAGAAAAACTCCTATTTCATTTAGTCATTTTACTGCTGTTGCAAATAAACTCTGAACAAAGTTACTGCTGTGATCTAGATGATAGTTCTTAACATTTCCTACATGCAGAAATGTTGATCTGATCACTGCTACAACATAGACACTCACCCCAAGCACACCAATAATCAGCATCACATTCAGAGGTCAGGGAAATAGCCTGAGATATTGTCACAGACACATTCCTGCACAATTAATGCACAATAATATAAACAGCCAAATAAAATAATGCCAGAACAAGCACTGAAACAGTGCAGGAAACACAGGTGCAGTCTCTCCAGATTTGGGCCTTCTCTGCCTCCGGTGGAGTCGGCTGCTCAGTTTTTGACCCTAATCACCTGGGTTGCCTGTAAAGTAAGAAATGTACCAGAGCTCCACCTGCAGCTGATGTGTCTTTTTAAATCCAGAGACGTAGTGAAAACCATCTGAAGACACTGTTCTATTGCTCCCATGGCTGCTTTGCAAAATCTAGTAGACCTCAGCAGATGGTTAATGATATTTTAATGAACACGGTCATTGCTTTTAGCACCCATGGGCTGTGCATTATTTTTTTTATTCATGACAAGCATTTGGTAATTTGCACTATTATACTGGTTTTTAATTATTAAAAACATGGTGAGATCAAATTAATTCCTATTATATTTCCACAATAAGTTGTCAAATACAGCGGATGCCTCTTAAACTGGGAGAAGGGTCACTGAATTAAAATATTAAACATAAAGAGTTGCACAGACCAGACAAATGGATTTGCATCCAAATGCGACACATTTTACTGCTCCAGCACTGAAATCACAGCGACCTCTACTGGTACACATCCATACTTACCCATTTCCTAAATTGTTAAGTGAAAATGGACGTTTTGCCTTTTGTGGCTGTGTCTGTCATGTTGTAAATCCACTTAACAATCTTTATAAAATGAAAAATGCATGTATATTGTTTTTATGTTATGTTGGTGTCACTTTATTGTGTAAAAGAAGGATAAATGATCCTGATTTTCTAACAAACTATTTCAGATCCCTGCAGATGTGACAGATGGACTATGTGTCTTTAATGTGACTTGTAACTATTATGATCAAAATAGCCAACACGCAGAAAGAAAAAAGGTAGAAAAAAGAAGCCAATGCTTTTTAAAAAGTCCTTTTTTTAAGCCTCGTTTTTTCGTTTTCTTTCATAAACAAAAATGAATACACTTCATTATAAACCTTTGCTGCGTGGCCAACTTTTTGTGTTCAGCCAACACAAAGTCTTTGCCTGCTTCTTGTGTGGCTGGCGTGGCATATTTGTTCAGTGGGCAGCTTTAGAAAGGACATCAAAAAGTGGTGTACATGGCAGAAAATTAGGCCTCAGCCTATTTAAAGTGGCTTCATCTCTAACACTGTTCTTTGCTTTTCCCATCATCAGCTCTAGTTTTGGATTGTTTGTTTAAACTTGTGATTCCCTTTTAATCACTGACTCAGGGCCAGTTCGTGACAGTCTGAACATTACATATGTTCAGTGAGGAGCTGAAAATATACAGTAAGTAATTCTGTCTGACCGTGGGTAATGAGGTGATTTTAAATCCTGCTGCACAAACAAAAACTTATTTTGTATTTTAAGTGATTTAAAAAACAAGAACCCCTGTAGCCTGGGTCACCGAATGTTATCTTGTTAGCAAGCATACATAGTTTTCACTGTAACCAAAAATAATGAAAAGAAACTTGATTTGACTGTTAAGTGTCTGCGTTTTATAAAACTGAGCCTGTAATGAGCCCGTTTGTCCTTCTGGAGGAGCACCAACCTTCCATCCAGACCAGAATGTGAAACTGCATGTGTTACCATGCTGATTGGTTTGTGCCGATGCTCCGTGACTCATTTCAGCTCTCCATGACAGACTGCCAACAGCTGTGAGTTCAAGACTGTGTGCCAAGCTCTATTTATAAATAACCCCCGTCTGCAAACATGGCTATGAAATATCAACATATTGTATGCATTTTCTCATTAACACAAGCACTAAACGTTTCTTTCAAAGCTCAGTTCTGCAAAGTATAAAGTATGGATGTTAATAGTGCTGATGACAGGACACGTGCTGCTCTCTGCTCTTTTAAATGAGTGGATGAAATATGAGCTCACCCATCAACTAGACTGCAAGACTAAACCCCTTCATGCGTAAGCAGGAGATCTTTGTCTCCTCCAGGTATCATGTCTCTTTCTGGGTCAGATGTTCCCTTTTTCTTTTCTCACCTCAAATTAAGTGTCATCTAGTGTCTGTGGTACACTCTGTTTCTGTCTTGGCTGCAGCGCCCTCATCTTTATTAAGCCACATGCTTTAGTCACAAGTCACTGGTCACAGACATTAGTGGCAAATAACAAAATAGATTTGCTAAGTATTGTACTTACTGTAAGGACAATATTTAGGTGCTTATCTTTCATTTTTCCCTTTTCAGATAGTTTTTATTTAAATTTTATATATAAACATAAACGTTTTAGATATAATCCATCAATATATATAGCTGTATATAAAATTGCTAGAAAGTTAATAAGGGATACTGTGACACAGTGTCAAGTAGATATATCTCTGGTGGTCACTGCAAACTTCATGATTAGTGATGCAACATGAGTCCGTAGTGGTGACTAGTGTCAGGGAAAGACGATCAGATTGGTTGCCTGAGATGACTCGAATACTTTCCACCGTCATGCTGGGGTTTGCTCTCCCCATTTTAGAGCTGCACCACCAAGTGTGAGGGTTGAAAGCAACACGGGGAAAAACTATTTCAGAAACAAGGATTCAAACAGAAAGGAAATGAATTTATTGTAGCAAATCTGCATGATTCGTTGTGCTTAAACAGATACAATAATACAGATAATTATGGCTGACAAACAGACCAGGCAAGTCTGCCAGAGGAAACCCTCCACCAACAAGAACATCAAGAAGCTCCGGACCATTAGCGCGGTGTGCAGCCTGGCGAAAAGCTGGCAGCAGTGGGCGTCGGAGAATGAGAAGAAGCAGGCTAGTGAACCCAGTGGCTGGGTTCCATCTTCACTTGAAGAACCAAATGAGGAACCCAAAAGAACATGGGTCCCAAAGAAACCTCCCATTACTCAAACCCAGCCAGCAGACGTTTCTCTCAATAGTGCAACTAGTTCTAAAGAGGTCAAAACGTCATTGACACCTCACAAGAAAACTGAAGATGCATCCATGAATGAAGAGATTAACCAGTCACCACAAGCTGCGTCTCGCATCAAGACAAAGCAAGTGGTGAAGACAGTGACCAGTGGGATTCAGGAGAAGAGTGTTGGCATCAGTGTCCTCACAGAGAAGATCAAGAAGGAGTCTCTGCCATCAGATGAGGAGATTGACAAGCTGCTGAAGAAGAGCTCACCTACACGGCGCAGGAAGTGCTCCAACATGGTGTCATCACTGACCAAAAGCTGGAAGCAGGTGGAGAACACAGAGAAGCTTGGGGGACCAGGAGAAGGACGCACCTGTAGTGTTAATAAAGATGACGATGGATACTCTGAGGCAAAGGGAAAGCAAATGGACATAGAGGATGTTCTAACAAACAGGACAAGCTTTTTAAAAGAAGCAGAGCAAAAAGACTCTGAAGGAGACACTGAGTCAGGCCTGAGGATTAAAAGAGCCCTAATCTCATCGTAAGTAACAGTGCACTTCATTTTATATTTCCAGTAGATAAAGGAAGTTGTTTCTGATGTTTCTGAACATACACACGCCCACACATACCTAAACTCATAAAGGTCAGATGAATCTGTCTTAATGGAAAATCAGCATGAATGAAAATCCTGTTGTTTAAGATCACAATAGACTGACAGACTGCAACAATTCATAATATTAGACTGCAAACCTCATGCCCGACAACCAGTGTAAAAACAGGATTTAGTATGTGTATTCATCAGCCACAAAAAGAAACTCTACACATATAATTTCCTGTGAAATATAAAGCATAATGACACAGTGCATTCTGTGCATATCAATCAGCTGTCACCAAGTCCTTTTACCATATATTCATGAGGAAGCCAAGAATACATAACTGTCTACCGACTGATTTTATAACAAATATTTTTCCTCACCAGTTTTTCTACTAAATTTGATTAGAATCCGGGTCTGACCGAATCATTAGACACTGACAGATAATTCTGCACTCCGGGGAGAAGAGGAGCTTTTCTTTTCCATTTTCCACCTGTTATTTTTATGGTTTGGCTTGTTTTTACCTTCCATATGCATACACACTGTATCTCATGATCCTGCCACCCAGAAACTCATGTATTAGGTCTGCATTTACATACAATGTTGAATACTTGCAACTTACAAGGGAGGGTAGTGTACATGTATTTTTAATGTAATTCAGTATCTCTCACAGGTACAAAAAGGAAGCTGAGGATGCCATCAAGATCAGTGCCTACTCCAAGAAATACAGCCCTGTGGGAAACCTTAAGAGCCGCTGGCAGGACTGGGCCTCAGATCACAGCATTAGACAGAAACTAAACCCCTTCAGTGAATACTTTGACTATGATTACTCCATGTCCCTCCGCCTCCAGAAAGGACAGGAGGGTTACGGACGTCCTAAGGAGGGTAGCAAAACAGCAGAGAGAGCCAAACGTGCCGAGCGACACATCCTCCGTGAGGTTGACGACATGTGTTTCGTGATCAGAACTCTGGCTGATCCAGACCCGGATGGGAAGACCCGTATCACGTTTGGAGAGCTGTTTGACAGATACGTTCGGATCTCTGATAAGGTGGTGGGAATTCTGATGAGAGCTAGGAAACACGGGAAGGTGGAATTTGAAGGAGAGATGCTATGGCAAGGCCGGGATGATGATGTGATCATTACTTTGCTGGTGTGATACCAGCACCTGGGTCAAAGCTGTGCTGGAAATCCTCTAATAGCTACTTGTGAAATAATGTGAATCATTATCAATCAGGGCTAAGAGGAGGATTTAAGATACAGTTTGACCTTGGTCTATTCCGTGGACACTTGCAGAAACATCGAGATCTAGGGACTACGGAGCTTGGCAGATGAGTCACTGTGGATTGCTGCTATTTTTTTGGGTGATCCATATTGACTGATACTTGAAGACTCCTTTTGTCAGTTTTGTGGATGTGGCGATTGCAGCTGTCATACACATTTTGAGAAATCTATAAAGACTCTGAAGTTTTAATTCAGGAGCATTAGAGAGATAACGCTCTACTGTAGCTTATACTGTAGCTACATACAGTACGTTTCCATTCAGAGTAGCTTGCAGATGCTTAAAGTGTTTACTTTATCTACTTTCTTTATGGCTTACTTTACTGTATGTTAATGACTCTTAAGTATATTAATGTACCAAAATAACCTGCAGCTTTACAGTATACTGTAGCACAGTGGTTCAGACATGAATTGGGTTTAGTTGCCTAAATTCCTGCAGCTCAGCATTCATTACATCATGCTGGGCACAAAGCAGGGGAACAGAGCACACTACAGCACTTTTAAATCTCATGCCCTCCTAGACTGAGACTTTAATGATTAAGGTAAATTATGACAATGACAGTCTTGGGGGTAAACATCCACTCCTTGTTGTAACCACTTTCAATCATAATGCTTGTAAAGTTCATCAATTAAAAATATCAATTTGAACTTATATCATCTCCCTTTTCAAAAATGTACAGAATTTTGACATGCAGGAAAATGAAGCTCAGCCACTCACACACATGCAAGATATATCAGGGAAGTCCCTCAGATAGGCTGAACAAACATTACAACAAAAGAAGAGAGGAGGAAGAGGGCAGGGAAACACTCCAACATTCAGTACAAACCAAGGGTCAAATCTGTGAAAGCTGATGTACATGCACCACACACAAGACAGATGCAGACACACTTCCTCATATGGTCACATAAACTATCTCTTTACAGCTCCAGGATACCCGTAATTAAAAGTGACACTCAAATACCATGACACACAAGTGAAGTATGTACTTGGCCGTTCTCACAGATGGGGAGGAAGTGTGTATATTCAATTATCACATTGAATAAACCATTTCTCCTTTCTTCAAACAGTTCATCTGTCATAGTGAAACTGTTCTATTTAAGACTTTAGTGTAATTATAAAAGGCCTGATAATTATGATATTTAGACACAGTCACTGTAAAACAAAGCCATTGTTGCTTTCAGCAGTGAAGTGCAGAAAGAACGAAGCTGAATTTAGGACTAGAAAATCTTTTAGCGCACAGCTCACATGGCCAAAGAAACAAAGAATGTGTCAGAATACTATAATGTGGTATGCCTGAGTTTGTGATTTTGTATTTATTGGCTTCCTAATTTTTACTATACACATTTTAATCTGAAACACATAAACAAAATGATCATGTCTTGCCTTTTTACCTGTAGGAATTTTCTGCTTTATGCATATGCATCACACGCACACACGCAAAGTGTGTGAAAGATGTAAAAAAAACTTCCTTCTCTGCGAAACTAACATAACTTGCCTTTTGCTTCATAGTCCAGGAGGCGCTGAGCCTACACTTCCCAGGATCCTTTGAGGCGCAACAGCAGCAGCTGTGCGCTCCGTCTTGCCCGCAGTAAACTGATGATAACACACTAAACAAGGTACAATGAGAGAGCACTGAGTTTTACATTTCGTCTGTCCCCTTGCGAGTGATGCTCAAATCTGCGGAGCAGCACAATGGCTGTTGAAGGTAAGACGCTTGACAATGCGCTGTCCGAGATGACATTTCTGTTTTTGCTTAGTTTTGGTGCGGTGATAAAAGGTAATAGCTGAAATGTTGATGTGCTGAATGGGGCATGGCTCTACCCAGACACAGTCGGGTCAACTGTGAAAGCCTGGGATCGGGTGATGTTGCAGCCTCTGCTCTCTAGGCATCACGTACACCGTCCTGTCCTGTTGGGATTGTTGTACAATTGGAATGTTGCACCGCTGGTTTTCATACAGGCTACACGATGGCAAACCATAAAGACTCGTGTCAACGCGCAGCCTCTTTCTTTATCTATATTGTTCCCGTTTGTGCGACTGGAAACATCGTTGGTTAACAGGTCTGCGACCGAGGAGCGTCCGGTTATTTTGCTTTATTATCTCCAGTGTGCCGGGAGCTGTGCGTTGTCTGGAGGACATTTGCGCGCACCACTGAGATTTATATTAGGGGACTCCTCTCTGAGAAACGATTGTCTTTTGGCTGTTCTGTGTTGTGATGCAGCAGAGTGCCGTGTTCTCGCTCAGTCTGCTCCAACAGGACCAGTTTGCTTGAGGCTGCTCATCAGGCAGCAGGTGTGTGACATGTGGACCACGGAAGTCTCCCAGTGACAGCTGGTGAAGGTGGTCGCTCCGCACATTACAGGTGAGAGAAGTGACAGTCAGGGACTCGGGATGCTCGGCCAGTCTCCTCGCCTAAGCCAAGGTGTGTTGTGGATCCAGAATCCAAAGACAGGTACGTCGGAGGGGGCGTCACATGTATACAGTAGGACAAGCTCTAGTTTTCTCTGTTTTCGCATGCAGGTATGATTGGTATGGAAACGTGGCACTCCTGCATTCCTACTGTAGAAAAAGTAGGCGTTGTTTGGATTTTGTGTTTGCCACTAAGATATTTCTGTCTGCTGACAGTGATGACAGACTAAATGACACGGAGAAGCACATCTTATATTTTCATGTTGATCTGTGACCTTTGCGTCTTTGCTGTGCTGACAACTGACCTGCGGTGCAAAGATATTGCCACCTGTTTTAAAACTTGAAATATTATAGATTATTTACTGTGAGCACAGCAGCAGCTACCGGCCTGTCAGCCTTCCAGCATGTCTCCCAGCATGGTTTCATTCATGCAGCTCTTGAGATTCATCTTTCAAAGCTGTAAAGAAGAAGGCGGGCGAAGCTGCCTGCATATGCACACTTTGTTACAGAGCTGAATGGTTTATCCATTATTTAGTTTGCCATTTCTTTAACCTTTTTTGTCTCTTCTTATCCAGGCTAGCACACATGAATAAGATGTATTTTTCAGTTTTTAACAGTATTTCTTTGCTGTATATCAGAGTTATGGAGAAACGTCCATTCCATTGTTGTCAAATGACAGTTTCCCATAGATTTGGATTTATATCATACAGAATTATCGCAGCTATTACAGTAAGTTACCAGAGATAAAAATTTGGTTGCTTTTGAGGTTGTTGTGCATCTAGAAACACAAATTGTGGCATACAGCTGCAGTTCAAGCAGCTATAGTGCATTCACTTGTGAGAGACGAATGGTGAGTCACGAGTCATCAACTAAAAAAACTGCACTTCTAAAAAGTCAAGGTCAGATAAGAGTTTTCTAGAGCAGCCAAAACATCCTATACAGCCCCGCACTGTGGCTGAGGTACAGTACTTTCAAGTGCTTTCTCCTTGAGGACAATGAATTATAGTGCTCTGTCTCCAAGAAAAAAATAGACTCAAGCCAAACAGGTTTCAATAATGGACAATACTGCAGTTTGAGCTACTATTGCTATGCAAACGACATTTCAGAAGGAAATGTTGTATTTGTTTTTCTCCAGTACATTTATCAGTTGTTATTACTTTTCAAATTTTCATTTTACATAAAAACCCATTCAAAAAAAAGTGTCTGATTGGAACTTTGTCCTCGTGTTTCAGACATCTACTGAGTTGTAGCAGCTTCAGCAAAGAAAAACCTCCCTTCAAAACCTTTCAGATGGTTTCATTTGAATAGCTGCTCAGGACACAACTTTCCAATATTTCACAAAAAAGCAAAGAGTCAACCCAAAGTTCCAAATACAAATTTTGTAGCAGAACTTTTTTATCTCATGACCCCTCAGATTTATCTTGTATCCCTTTGTGTCTGAACCACTGGGCTACAGTATATAAAGTAGTTAAACCTCCACCAGCTACAACAGCAAAATGACACACGTTGATCCCTCAGCACTGGCAGTTGTCACAGCAGCCATTTTTCTGCAGAATGAATACTTTAATGTTTGAAACTTGAATTACATAATAATGACAGTAATAATGTACTTTCACTTAAGAAGGACATTGAATAAAAGATGTAGTTGTAATGGAGTATTTGTACTTAGTTGTATTGGTACTTAAAGGATTTTAATACAACTTCCACTTCAAAAAATTACATTTTATTCTGAATTAATGAGTGACCACATGGACAACTGATGAGTAAAGCCTGAGCAAAAATCTCTGGTACAATCTTCTACAATATGTTGAAAGAAACAAATGTTTCCTGGACATACTGCATTTTATATTATTTATCTCTATGACAGACAAGCTGATCAATCGATTGATACCCACAAAATATATATGAATGTGACATGAGAACATTTGTCAGACAATGACCGATTAGTTTTTTTTGTCCATTCTGAAAGCACCTGGATGAATCTGTCCAACAGTTGTCAGGAGTTGGCTCATTACAGTTCTACTGGATCTGTCTGTAGACTGAGGGCTTCAGCTGACTTTACATCAGTGTGTCTGACTGTCAGCTTAAGAAAAAAGCATCCAAGGGAAGGTAGAGCCAAAGCCAAAACGACTTCTCATTCTTCAGTGAAGAACAATACTCTGTAACTTATAGGTCAATTTGGTGTAATTAGACAAGGTTCTGGAAAATTTCATGTAATTCAGGACAGAATTGGCCTACATTCTGAAAATGTAAGAATTTTCTAACCTACCTGGGCCAAAGCCCAGAATATTGAATGTAGATGATGTAGTGTAGGAGAGGAATTCAATTTTAAAGCAACTGTGTTGTGAACTGTAGTTACATCCATATTCATGTCATGCCTGCACTAAGACTTCTCACTCGCTGTGTTGAAGTGTCACCTGTAGACTCGGGAGGTTTTGTGTTGTGCTCAGTAAACTTGAATTGTACGGCAAATATCATTTTTGCACTTGACACACTTGATTTTTGTACAGACAGATCCACAGATCTGATGAATATGCACATGGTGGCAGGCAAAATGATAAGGACTATACATTGTGTTTGTTTTATGCAAATTTAACAAAGCATCTGACCTTTGTTTAGGACTTAATGCACTGCAGCATCAACTGGGCTGGCATTGTGGGCCCTTGTCTGTGTCACCAAACGAACATAACTTGGTGTAAACAGTATACAGAAATAGATTTAATTTAATGCCCTTCATGGCATCCTTCAAATTAAACCCAGGGGAAGAAATAAAATATTGCTGATCATCCTTGCTCTTTCTAGCACTGTAAAGCACTTTTGTGCAGCCCTCTTCTCTCTCACAAATGACGACCTTTGTGCTTTTTGTGAATATTTTCCGCCCTGTTCTGCTGTGTTGAGTGCAGAGAGCTGGCGGTGTGCCCGCCCTGTCCCTGATGACTGGCAGAGAGCTGGCGGTGTGCCCGCCCTGATGACTAAACTTCTCTGTGCTCCATTCTGCTCACTGACTGAAGCCACAGATCAGATAGTTTGTGCCGCACTGAAGTTACAGTGGGAACAGATGGAGGAAGTTGGATTCAGGTGTGTCATGGTTTAAGAGTGCTGCAAACTGGACTCTTGACATCAGAGAGCAGTAGGTTATAGGAGGAACTATGAGGTGTTATCTGAGGAAATATGCGATACACAAGTGGGACGTTAAATACTAGAAGTACTGTGGTTCGTTGGGATGCAACAATATGTTGTCAAAATCAGATACTAACAAGCACTGTCCTCCACCTCCAGTGGTGCTCCATCCATGCTGCACAAAGCAGCTGGATGGCAATCTGGAAGTGAAAATCAAAACAGTTAATCTGGTAATTACTATTGTTATCTGTTAATTGTAACTCTTACAATGCAAGTGTTTTGAGGGGCCGTGGCATCAGAGCTACAGTGATTACAACGCTGCATATTTAATCAGGCACTTGAAGATAATGTGAAGGGTACAATGAGCTCAGACGAGAACTACACGCAGCAAACATTAGGGACTTTTTCTCTTTACTGCAAAAATGACATGTTAGTGTTTTTACATCAAAACAATAACGGTCCCACTTTTAATGCATGTACAGTATTAGCAGTTTGAAGTATAGCTAGTGTCTGTATACTGTATTTGTCATATATGGATTATATTATCTATGATACCGAAGAAGCTTTTTGTGTTGACAGTCAAAACAAATAAATCAAAAAGGTTTTAGAAAAGGTGGTCAACATGCAAAAGGTCATAACATGTCAGACAGGCAGGAGCAAGAAGGCTGGGCAGCTGAGGTTGTGCTGCATGATCAGTGGTGATTGTGGTGAAATGAAAGAGAGGGACAGGTACAGTATATCCTCAGACGTGAGAGGATTACAGACAGGTATGCCAGTGGCGATGTGAGGCCAGCACTGGTATGTGGCATGCAGCAGATAGAAGGTTAAAGTTGCTTTGAAAGTAAAAAGTACCTGTGGTAATACTGTAGAGTATTGTTTTATGATTTTACAGTACTATTATACAGTAGGGGGATGTGACTCTTTGTCTTCTGATACAGTTCCAGTACCTCATTTTATCTGCTTTGCCAAATCTGATACCTTTATGATCTTCCTCTCACCTCATTGCTATCGGTGTTTAATTTAACATGATTACTTAATCAATGGAACTGATACTGGAAAGGCTCAATTTAATGATTTTGGTGTAGAAATAGCATTTAATGTGAACTGCTTCCATCATGGCTGATACCCAGTGTGCCCTGTAAGGACAGAGGCACTTAGCAGTGGTACAGAAGTGCCTTCTCATACTGTAGTTCCTTTACATCACAGCTGACACTGAATACTGTGGTGTGATCGTGCCTCTGCACTGTCAGCACCGTACTGTATCTACGCAAGCTAAAAATAGTGTGTAAAATATGTGCGCACTTCAGTTGTTGGTATGGAAATAAATCAGGTCTATAGTTGCTGTTTGGTTGTTAAAGTTCCAAACCTCACAGCAGGAAAAGGTAACAAATCATACAGCCTGACTGAGGACACCCAATGAAATCACCAGGTTTTGTATTTTGTATTTGTCTATAAAAGTTTATGTTGTGGTTCCAAATAAAGCGAGTTTGCGTCTCTTATTAAATATTAATAGATGTTACTTGGCTCTAAATTAAGACCGTCTATTTCTGTCATCCTTTTACTGTCTGCCTTTGAAGTAGTGCATGTTAAGAGCTTTGTTCCTGGGATACATGCTTCACAGGGAGCCAAAGTGAACAGCAGTTATATTTGGCTCGTGTGTTTGTGCTCTAAAGTTGGTCATTTCTCTCTTCTTTTTTTTTTCCCCCAGCTCTGTCTCACTGAGTCGTTTGTCTGTCTTTCACATTTTTCACTTTCTCTTTCTACAACTTTATCTTTTTATCCTCTCTCACTTTTTCATTTTTATCCTCCCTCGCTCTCTACAGCTGAGAAATGTTCAAGTGACTTCTTCACACAGAACCAACCAATCATAGTTACTTGAGCCCTGGGGTTGCAGTTAACTTCTGACAGGACGTCAAAGTGAAT